TTTGGGGTTTCTGACTGATGACATTTTTGCGAAGCGATAAAAGCTGGGTAGCTCTTGCAAAATAAAGCTGTATGTCCCTCAGCCCACTGGCTGCAATGTTGACACCTTGTCATGCCATGAGACCTAAATCCTGAAACTGGGATGCATAGAGTGCATCCCAGTTTTCCACATCTGGCATATAACCATTCATTTTAGCTTTTAAACTGGTTATATTGATCCTGTGTCCAGACAGAGGGATAATCAGTAGCCCAGCATCATGACCTGTTTGTTCTGAAGATCCTGTAGCTTCCACTTCATCTTCCTGACATGATGCCTCCTCACCCTGACTCTCATACTGATGGGAGGAACCACAGAGCTCTGTTAGGTTAAAGCTCATCTTCTGAAGTTGGGATATTTTTCCTCCAACAGGTTCCAGAGGAATCACCTCAAACCAGATGTTGGACTGGATTTTATTTCACTGTCATTTGTGAATGTTAGCTTCTCATTTTCAACAGTGGAGCTATAAAGGTTGAAAAAGGTTAAAGGTTATCATCATTAAGTCTCATCAACATCAATATTTCCACTAAATAAGGAGCACAAAAGATAGTTTGATAAAGGAAAAGCCTCTCAGACTCTGAGCTCAAAGCAAGATTCCAGAGAGCAATAAAACTATTATTTTTGAATTAGACAATTTAATTTCACATAATTATAGATAATTATTAGAAGCCATTTGTTTGTTAAATACTTAATGAAACATATTTACCGTTTCTGATGTTTGTTGTAAATGACGTACAGTCACAAAGAACGAGGTAATCAGTCCAAGTTTGTCGTTTATTGACCGATCAGAAACTACAGCAGCTGTGATTCGCCACAGCAAAGGTAAAACAACCTGAACAGGTGATCAACTCTAAACCACTCGCACCTTTTTATTCTCCGTCTCTCTCTGTCATTTAAGCACACCCGTTGCCATGGCAACCTCCTGCGCTCCACAAGCTGACCAGAGATTACGTTAAAAACATAACATTCAGTCCGTTACAATATTAGATTTTCAGGCTTGATATTTATTTTGCGATCATTAATAAGCCTCTCATGAACACAGCGGTGGTTGATTAGTTAATTTTAAACTCCTGCTCTGCTAGTTATTTTGGTAATGGAACTCAAACGCACAGAATTGCACAACACCTTGTTGAAACAATAATCACTGAGATTATTATTGTTGTTGGGTGATTAATTTGAACACATTTTGTTGACTTTTTGTTGTTGTTCTTTAATAAAGTTACGAACATTTTAAGCGAGCCAGAGGTGGACGTGCTGGTCTCAGCGTCCTGGCGGCGTTTAGTTTCTCACCTAATGCTGAGATCGACTCAAAACCTTCCGCGATCGACGTGTTGCACCGCTGCTCTAGCAAAGCACGAACAGTTCAGAAACTATCTGAAATGGAATAAAAAGTTATTTATTAACTGATTAAGTCGTGTTTTAAACGCAACTTGAGCGCTACGACGCTCGCGCTGGGTTTACACCTGTGAGGCAGTGAAGAGACCTGCTGCTGCTGTACAGAGCTACGCAGGTGTGTTAGAATAATGGCAGCAAACCAGCAAAACGCAAAGAACTTTTCACAGTTTTCCCCCCAAACTAACCGACTGAGTTGAGCAAAGCTGTTGGATGCAGGTAATGTTAGCTAAATGATGACTAGCTAATATCAATACATCACCTTAAGCTTAACAAGCAGCCTGTAGGCTACCGATGTTGTCTATGTCCAGCTCATACATTCATTTTTTCCCCAAAAAAGTCGATCCCCCCTCCCCTCTCATACACGTCCCAGACAGCTATTTGTGATCCATAGGGGGGCCCAGAAAATGTTTGGAAACCACTGGGGGGGGTCAGGAGAAAAAATTTGTGTTGCACACTCGAACAGAAGTGGTGTCGAGACATGCGGCGGTTGTAAATTTCCTTTACTTCCTTTTTTTCTGAACATACAAAACACGTTCATCGATCCGTGCGTTACACTATAGCGGTTACATTCGCCATCTTCTTCTTCTTCTTAACTTAGGACCCTTCCTGCCCGAGGCTGCCCTAAGCGCCTGTTAGAAACTGATCACTGTCCAAACTTGTTTCACTCTCAGTCCGAATAGCTACCAACATACACGTGAATATTCCGCTAAACATGGACAATGAAACAGTATTTTTTTAATAAAACAAAACATTCATAGGAACAGAGAATAGACTCATATTTTAATGGAAGGAGGGGGTGGGGGGGTTCCTTGATCCAAAGTCCTCAGTCCTCAGCAACTGATCCCCCACACTCTCCCCCTCAAAATAAATGTCGTCCCGACATACTGACATTTCTGGAGAGCTGAGTCTTCAGCTGGTATGGAGACAGGTTTGGAAGACAGTCTCTTGGTACACTTTCCTGTATGATACAGTTCTGAACATGGCATCTATCCCCCTCTTCATGTCATGTTAAAACAATAGACATTACTGGCCAGGTAATATCTGTAAAGTCACTCTGCCATCTCTGCAGGTTGTGTGTATCAGACTGTAAAGTTTGACTTTAAGTTCCTGCCCTAACCCTTCATTTAGACCCACTTATGCTATTATGTGCTTAACATATGTAGCCGTCTAAATCAATGTAATAGCGGTCCAAATTCCAGATGTGCACTAATCAGCTATCAATATGTTTAAAGCTTACGCTTCTAATCCCCTCTGTCCTGTGTAGTTACCCAACCTGAACATATAACTGAACAATGTGA